TTTAAAAGTTTTGTTAGTGTTTTTATTGATGTTAATTTTACATTAATTTCTATTATATTATTTTGTAAACTATCTAGCTTGATGCTGTTGATGGCTCTCCTCTTACTGTTAAAGTCAAGACACGCCCTTGTAAATTAGACAAACCTACAGAGAGTTTAATTAAACTCATATTTGATAATGATATGTTTAAAGAAGCTATGGCGAACATGAATATTGGTATTAGTTTAAAATATATATTATACCATTATATAATTATGTATAAATATATATGTGTGCGTGTGTGTATATATACAAATATAGATAAATATATAAATAAAATATATTTATATATTTGTGTGTGTGTATATATATATAAATATTTGTATGTATTTGTATATTTTTCACTTACGTTTACAGATTTTGCTTGTCTTAGTTTTAATATACTTTTCACACTATAATGCGTAGGGAACGTGGCACTATAATGTGTTGTGGTATTTTAATGTGTAGCACTATAATGTGTTGTGGTATTTTAATTGTGGTACTATAATGTGATACACATTATAGTACCACAACACATTATAGTGCCACACTCCCAATCTTTTCTCTGTATAGGGAAATGACGTTTCTGCAAAACTGACATTTCCGTATACAGATAAAAGATTGAGGTTAAAGAAGAAAAAACTTGCACTACAGTTGACATAATTAGAATTACAGTTGACATAATCAAGATTACAGTTTACATATTTAAGATTATAGTTGACATAATTAAGATTACAGTTGACATAATTAAGATTACAGTTGACATAATTAAGATTACAGTTGGCATAATTAAGATTACAGTTGACATATTTAGACTTCAATTTAGATATAAAAAATGCTTAAGACTGAGTGTATATTAAAGAAACAGAATTATGAGAAACATCTAACTTTTGAAAGCATGGCAAAGAATGCTAAAACAATGTTGATGCTTTTTTTGTATCCATTCTCAAAAAATACGTCTATGAAAAAACTTCTTGTTTATTAGAAATATGTGTATAAGAGAACCATCTGCATACACTCATAATAGTATTACACTCATAATAATATTACACTTATAATAATGTTACACTCATAATAGTATTACACTCATAATAGTATTACACTCATAATAGTATTACACATAATAATATTACACATAATAGTATTACACTCATAATAGTATTACACTCATAATAGTATTACACTCATAATAATATTACACTCATAATAATATTACACTCATAATAGTATTACACTCATAATAATATTACACTTATAATAATGTTAAGATATTTAAGTTAGATTTAAGTTGAACATCGATTGCTTTTTTTAAAAGATTTGAAATGCGTAAGCTCCATTTGTAATAATAATAAAAAATGTTTTTACTTTTGAGTTCTTTTATTTTATGGCAGAATTTTGTTTATTTAGGATATTGTAAAACATTTTTTATTGAATTGAAGTGAGCATGAAATGTAGGGGTGTAATGAGTGGTGTAGGGGTGTAATGTAGGGGTGTAATGAGGGGTGTAATAAGTGAGCATGAAATGTAGGGGTGAGCATGAAATGTAGGGGTGTGTATCTACAATACACACCCCTCTTTTAAGTTTTTATTTATGCATAATGGATATTAAAAGCTTTCTTTTTATAATCTGTAAAAAAAACTTCAGCTACAACTGCTATTGAAAAATAACCTGAATTAGGTATTATTTGAAATATTGTTTTTGTATAAATAATAACTTATTTAATCAATAAATTAGTGCATGTCTGCAAAGGATAGTTTAGTTTGAGCTTTTGAATTATCATTATTAAATATATCAATAATGACATTTGCTTCATCAATAAGTGTGCAGAGATATAAATTAACATTTAATGCAACCTAGATTTTATTTGCATCTATTTAATTGCTTCATTTAGTGTTGGTTTTAATAATTTTGATGAGAATCTTAAATGATCCATTAGGTGGTTTGTTGATTGTTGATACAAACAGGATTTTTTATTGGGTTTGTGAGCCTTAATCGTTTCATAATTTTTAGGTGGGATCTATTTGATGGATACATTTAAATATTTTAGGTGGCATTAACTTGATGGATACATTTAAATACATGTAATTGTGTCTTCTTTTTAAATTCTTTTTTTTAATTTTTGGTTTTTGAAATTTGATAGTTAATGTGAGTTTTGGTTTGTCATCAAAAGTTTTGCTTTTTTTTTTCTCTTATTTAAATTATATGTATTTTTGGGATCTGATGAATTTTTTATTAAACAATATTAATCAATAACTTTTTTTACAATTTATGTGTTTTATAATTGTTTATAAATACATACATACTTCCAAACATATATGTATGCATGTATGTATGTATGTATGTATGTATGTATGTATGTATGTATGTATGTATGTATGTATGTATGTATGTATGTATGTATGTATGTATGTATGTATGTATGTATGTATGTATGTATGTATGTATGTATATATATATGTATGTATGTATATATGTATGTAT